CCTGTGGCTGCAGCGGCGGCTCTGGCCGCACCTGTGGGCGGACGCGCGGTTCCTGCTGCGGGCGCTGCTGTGCCGCCGCCGGGTGCTGCGGGGCGCGGGGTCCAGCCTGGCCCAGCGCTTCGCCGGCCTGGCGCGGGCGGCCCCGCAGCGGCTCTTCCTGCGCTTCGAGCGGCAGCGCTTCAGCTACGGGCAGGCGGAGCGGGCGAGCCGGCGGGTGGCCAACGCGCTGCGCGCCTGGCGCGGCCCCGGGGGGCCCCTGCGGCCCGGCCACACCGTGGGGCTGCTGGTGGGCAACGAGCCCGGCTTCGTGTGGGCCTGGCTGGGGCTGGCCCGGCTGGGGGCCGTGCCCGCCTTCCTGGGCACCGGCCTGCGCCGCGGGGCGCTGCTGCACTGCCTGCGGGGCTGCGGGGCGCGGGCGCTGCTGGTGGCGCGCGGTGAGTGCGGAGCCCGCGGGGGAGCGGGGAGACGGAGGGGCCGGGGCGCAATGGGGGCGCACGGGGGAGCGCAGGGGCCGGGGCACAATGGGGGCGCACGGGGGGGACGGGGGGGAGCGGGGGGGGGGGGGGGGGGCGCGGGGGGGGGGGGGGGGGGGGGGGGGGACCGGGCCGGGGGGGGGGGTGGATTGTGATTCTCTCTGGGGGTCCCAGAGGTCACTTGATAAACTAGCGTCACCCAAAGGATCCTGGGGAGGGGACCGGCATGGGAGCAGCTGGGACAGGAAACCCCACCCGGTCTGGGGCTTATGGGGAGCAAAGAGCTGCCCACCCCCAAACCTGCCACAGGACTCGGGGCCCGGGCAGCTGCCTCTGCACCCTGCGGCCCGGCTGGGGGACTGGACTGGCTCTTCCCCAGCGGCCCTGGGTGTCAGCCCCCCCACCCCGATCCCCCAACATGGGAGTAGTTAGGGCCAGGTTTTGGAGAGAGCCCAGCGCGCTGGGTGCCAGGCAGGGTCTGGGTGCTCGGCCCTTGGAAATCTCACCCCAAATGAGGGGCGAATGCTGGGTGCTCTGGGGTCCTCTCCGTGCCATGGCACTTCGCTCCTGCTGTGGACGGTTTTCGGGGGGGACCCACGAGCCCCGCACCGCTGGCTGTGCTAGGCCTGAGAGGCGGAGCAGGCAGGGTCTCCAGCCAGCGCTTTCAGTGGGGGCTTTGGGCTCCCAAGTGGAGTCAGCGCCGCTCCCTGTGCGGCCTCCCAAGCTGGGCCCCGAAATCACCAGGCCCCTGTGAAACCCTTGGCCGGAAAGCTCCTGCCTGCGGGCTGGCTGGGAACCAATCCCCTGCGGCAGCTCCTTGGCGTGGCTCTGAAAGCCCCAGCTCCTGCGGCCAGGTGCTCCTGGTGTCGCCCCCTGGGCCTGCGACACCCAGTCGGGCTGACAGGTCTCTCGTGTGTCCCTGGCTCCCCAAAGGCCCCGGATACAGAGGCAGCCTCCTCACTGGTCACCGCGGGCAGGAGTCTGGGGCCTGGTGTCCGCGCTGTGTCTATAGGGCCAGGGGCTATGTGCTGCCGTGTTTGCAAAGTCCCAGTGCCATGGGGGACGGGCACTGGCTCGGTCTGTGCAGCACCCAGCTCGACAGGGCCCGGCTCGGTCTGGGCAGCGCCCCGGGGCCAGGCCTGGCTCGGTGGCTCAGTCTGGGCAGCGCCTGGCCGGACAGGGCCCTGATCTCGGCCGAAGCCTTTAGCGCTGCCTTGCTATAAATCTAGGACTTTACAGGGGTTCTGCTCAGGCCTGGGCAGAGCCGAGCTCTTGTTAACGCCAGTTCTGCAAACTCTTTGCCAGGCTGGACTGGAAAAACTTCTTAAAATAAGTTTGAGGCAAGTTTTCCCGTGTGCCCCTCCCACCACGTGCCCCTCCCTTCCCTCACCAGCTGCAGTGCTGTGGCAATAGGAAGTTTTTCCTGGCAGATGGGACCCAGCCTTGTTGTTTGACTTCCTTAAAGCTGAGAGCCCTAAGTGGGTGGGTCTGGGGCCCGGCTCCTTGGACCCACGGCTGCCTGAGCCCAGCACAGAGCAGGTCCCAAGCGCTGGCCGGGCTGGGGCTGGGGCTGGCAGCCCCAGATTGGTTCGTTAGTGCTCCTGGTCCTGGGGTGCTGGGTGCTCTGTGTCTGCAGGGGGCATGGGCGGGGGAGGGGAGCTGGTTTCGAGGGGAATTCGGTGCCAGGCGAGGGGCGTTGGGATGAGCCAGCCGGGGCAGGGCAGAGTCGTGCGGTGTTTGCCGTGGGGCCAGGTCTCAGCGTAGGCAGAGTGGGGTATCCCTGGGGGCCGCCTGGCATTTGAGTCTGAAATCAGGGCACGTTCGAGCCGGGCCAGGAGCAATTGTGTCGCCCCTCTGCAGAGCCGAGACACCCCCCCCCCCGCCCCGAGCTCGGTTCACACGGACAACTTGAATAACTGTAATTAACGCAGCAACCCTCTGGCATTGCCTACTGAGCTGGAAGTCATCGCAGTAATTGCAGCCGCTCCAGGCCTTTAATGATGATTTAATTGGGGACAATTCGGCATCCTCAGCGGGGTGGGGGTGGGGAAGGTGGCTGGACGGGACCGCCGGGGACACATCCTGCCACGGTTCAGATGGGTGCGGACTCTGCACCGGGGGGCTCACGCGGCTCCGCTGCTAGGGGCAGCCTGGATCCCGACCCCACTCCCCTCGGGGCCAGGAACCGCCGGATCGAGCCCTGAGCCCCAGGCCAAATCCTCAGCCAGTGCAAATCAGCGACACGCCCTTCGGTCTGCAGTGTGCCAGCCGGGGCGCAGGGTTTAGAGGGGAGAAGCCTTTGTCCCACTGAGCTAACGCTGCTCTGGCCTGGCCTGGCGCGCTGGCCCCTGCCCTGCGGTGTCCTCTCCCTGGCCCCCTTGCCTGCCCAGCCCCTCGTCCCTGGCATACGGCGCCCGCCCATTGCTGCTCCGAGCGCAACCTCTCTCGTTGCCCTTGGGAGACGGCCCATCACTCCCCCTGTCTGGGTCCGGCTCCACCCGTCCGTCCATCACTGCTTCATGGTGCCATTTTCCGGCCCTCCCCCATGGCTCGTTACTCTCCTTTCCCCTTAACGACAGGGCACCACAGAGAGCAGGGGTCTCGCCCCAGCCACGGGGCAGGGCCCTGGCCTGTGAATCGGGTGTTGTCTGCTGCCCTGCGCGGGGTCTGCTCCAGTTATTGGGTGGGGTGAAGGAGGCCCCATCTGGGGCGGCGCCAGCTGGCCATGAGTTTGGCACGGGGCTGTGGCCATCTGGCAGCAGCCCCCTGGGGCCCCCCGCGCTGGGTGCTGCACCCCAGGGCGAACAGACAGCCCTGCCCCAGAGCTCACGCCCTCCCCCTCCCCACAGATCTGTATGAAGCGGTGGAGCCCTTGCTGCCCACCCTGCAGGAGCAGGGCATCGTGGTGTGGATGTTGGGCCCGGGCCCCTGCCCGCCGGGGGTCACCAGCTTGCAGGAGCTGATGGAGGAGGCATCCGAAGAGCCGGTGCCCTCAGACTTATCCACGCCCAGGGACATGATGGACACCTGCCTCTACATCTTCACCTCGGGCACCACAGGTGGGGCCCTACTGCTGCCCCCAGGCACAGGGCTCCCCACAGGGCAGGGGCTGCGGGTCTGGAGTGAGGGGCATCCGCAGAGCTGGCCGGGGGCGTTTGGAAAGGGCCTGCCCGGCTCTCTCCGGCGCCTGCTGCCGCCACCCCTTCCCAAGCCCCGAGGTCGCGGAAGCAGGGCCCGGTTCAGGGTCCTGGGGGCTGTCTGTGCCCGCTCCGTGCCCCGATGCAGGGCTCCCTGCTCTGGCTTCTCCATGCGTCCGGTGGCTGCGGGGCCTGGATGAACAATGGGGGGCGGCAGGAGGGGGGGACTCTGCAGCTGTGGGGGGATGGGGAGGTTTAAACGCGACCACTCAGTGGCATCGCTGCTCAGGCCGGCTGCTGAGCAGGGCCCGAGGGGAGTGACAGCGGTGGGGCATCCCTCGGGGCAGGAAGCCAGGGCGTGGGGTGTGCCCAGCTCGGGGGGACTCACTGACCCCACTCCCCCGTGGGTTGGGCACCGGGGAGCCAGGACGCTGGGCACGGCGTGATCCCCATCTCCCCCGTTGCAGGGCTGCCCAAGGCTGCCCGCATCAGCCACCTCAAGTCCATCATGTGCCTGGGCTTCTACCGCCTGGTGGGGGCCTCCAGCAAGGACGTGATCTACGTGGCGCTGCCCCTGTACCACATGTCGGGCTCCCTGCTGGGCATCGTCGGCTGCATCGGGATCGGTGAGCTGGGCGGGGGGGGGGTCTGGGCTGCCCCCTGCCGGGGGGGGGGGGGGCTTGGCAACAAGGGAGAAATAATCCCGCCTGTCCATGCCCGGTGGTGGGGTGTGATGAGCTGTTCCCACGCCGGGGAGAGGGGCCGGAGCTGCTGTGGGAGCTCCCTGAGCAGAGACGTGAACGGTGTCAGGAACTGTTGGGAAAGGGACAGATGATAAGTCAGAAAATATCACAAGGCCACTACAGAAATCCTGGGACACCCACACCGGGAACACGGCCTGCGGGTCAGGTCGGCCCATCTCAAAAAAGATACCTTAGAGTTGGAAAAGGTTCAGAGCAAGACGACACCGCGCTCGGGGCTGGACCAGCTCCTGTCTGAGCAGAGGTGACACACTGGGACTGCTCAGTTTGGAAAAGGGCCGACGAAGCGGGGGTATGACAGAGGTCTATATAGACATGGCTGGGCTGGAGAAAGTGAGTAGGGAAGTGTTATTTACCCCTTCACGTAACACAAAAACCAGGGGTCACCCAAAGACATTAACAGGCAACGGGTTTAACACACACACACAGAAATACTTCTTCACACAACGCACAGTCAACCTGTGGAACTCACTGCCGGGGGATGCTATAAAGGCCAAAAGTACAACTGGGTTCAAAAAAGAACGAGACGCTCATGGAGGACACGTCCACCAATGGCTGTTTGCCAGGATGATCAGGGATGCGATCACCTGCTCCGGGTGTCCCTAAACCTCCAACTGCCAGAGGCTGGGACTGGATGACAGACGATGAGTCACTGTCCCAGAGTCCCAGGGCGATGCTCTGGAACTGCTCCCCACAAAGCCAGGCAGGACTCTGGGGAGCCTCCTCCCCCTTGGAGCAGACTGTCTTCAGGGCAAGAAGCTCACACGGCTTCACCTCCTGGGTCTCTCCTTAGAGCATTTAGCATATGCCCCTCCGTGTGCCCCCACAGCGAGTCCGCCCAGGCGGGGTGCTGGGGAAGCCAGAGGGTCCTGCACCCCCACTTCGCAGTCAGACGTGACTCTCGGCCAGCCAGTAAAACAGAGGTTTATTAGACGACAGGAACACGTCTAAAACAGAGCTTGTAGGTACCGAGAACGGGACCCCTCCGCCCGGTCCATTCTGGGGCCCAGTGAGGCAGACTCCTATCTCCCCTCTCCTCCAGTCCCCAGCCAGCTCCAAACTGAAACCCCCTCCAGCCCCTCCTTCTCTGGGCTTTGTCTCTTTCCTGGGCCAGGTCGTCACCTGATCTCTTTGTTCACCTTTCCTTGCAGGGGGGAAGGGGCCCTGGCCATTTGTTACCAGGGAGACAGAGTGTCAGTGATTTATGCGCACTGGCCTTTCCCCACCACCTAGAGACTTAAGAAATGCATAGGGGAAACTGAGGCACCCACACAGTATTCAGAGGAAACATTAAGAACCGTCCCACTTCGTCACAGTCACTCAAAACGTGGCCTGTCTCTTGGTCCCTCTGAAGCTCCTGGCACCGGCCACTGGCGGAAGACAGAGCTCTGGGCACCTGACCATTGGTCTGACCGCTCAGATGTTCTTAAGCTTTTGAGGCCCATATTCCAGCAGGAACGGGGGCCGCATCTGGGCCAGGGGGACGGTGCTGCAGCCGTTAGAAACAAGGCCACTGAGCTCAGCGTATCCATCCCCGGCTGCCTTGGGATCCGCCAGGCGCCAGCCCCCGCAGGTCACCATAGAGGCATCAGTGACGCTTTGCCTGTCCCAGGGCGCTGAGCTCCTCGCCAGGGAGGTGGGGTACAGGCATCGAGAGAGGCTGGGACTCCGTGCCAGAGCTGGAGATAGAACCCAGGAGTCCTGGCTCCCAGCCCCTCCCCCTGCCCTACCCCACTAGAGCCCACTCCCCTCCCAGAGCTGGACACAGAACCCAGGAGTCCTGGCTGCCTTGGCCAGCTGTCGCTGTGGCCTGAGTGGGGTGGGTTGGCCCGCCCGGCCCGTGGTTATGCAGGGCCTCGGGGCAGCTCTCTGAGGGCGCTCTCCCCGCCAGGTGCCACGTGTGTGCTGAAGAGGAAGTTCTCAGCCAGCCAGTTCTGGGGCGACTGCCAGCACTATGGGGTGACCGTGTTCCAGTACATCGGGGAGCTGTGCCGCTACCTTGTCAACCAGCCCAAGGTCAGCGTCGGGAGCTGGGGGGCCACACGGTGTCAGGGACCCCCTGCTGGGATTTGTACCCAGTTCCCTCTGGGTTGCCCCTTCTTAACAGTGCTGACCCCTGAGCACGGCCCCGTGCGCCCCAGCCCTGGGGTGGAACGGGGCAGCTGGTCTGCACAGGGCCAGCAGGATGTCCAGAGCTGCGGGCACCATATGAGCACAAACCCTCCTCCCCACTGGGACCCACCTGGGGAAACTGAGGCATGGCAGTGACAGGGCAAGGAACAGACCCTTGCGCAGGCAGCAGGGCGGGAGCCAGGGTCTGGGTTCTCTCCCCAGCTTTGGGAGGGGAGTGGGGGCTGGTGGGTTAGACGGGGGGGCTGGGAGCCAGGACTCCTGGGTTCTGTCCAGGCTCTGGGAGGGGAGTGGGGTCTAGTGGTCAGAGCAGGGGCCCTGGAAGCGGGGTTACTGAACAGGTTATGATCCTGCATTAACCTCGGGTCTGGGGCGGGACTATCCCCGCACTGAACCAGAGCCCTCCACCCCAGAGAGAAGGGGAGCGGGATCACAGCCTGCACCTGGCCGTGGGCAGTGGGCTGCGGCCCGACGTCTGGCGGGAATTCCTGCAGCGCTTCGGCAACGTCCGCATCGTGGAGACCTACGGCATGACCGAGGGCAACATCACCTTCTTCAACTACACCAGCACCCTGGGGGCAGTCGGCCGCGGCAGCTTCCTCTACAAGGTGAGCGGGGCCGGGTCATCGCCGGGCGGGGGGCTGTGGGTCGGGAGTGAGGAGCACCGGCCGGGCGGGGGGCTGTGGGTCGGGGTTGAGGGGCACCAGGGGAGCTGGTGGGCTGCGGGTCGGGGTTGAGGAGCGCCGTCCGGGCGGGGAGGCAGTGCGTGGGGGGTCTCTGACTCTCTGCGCCTCTTTCAGCTCTTCTGCCCCTTTGAGCTGGTGCGCTACGACGTGCTGCAGGGGGCGCCGGTGCGGGACGCGGCCGGGTGGTGCCAGCGGGTCGGCCCAGGTGAGCGGCAGGGGCTGGCCGGGGGGGAGGGGGGGAAGTGGCCGGCTGAGGCCCCTGCTCACCGCTGCCCCCCACAGGCGAGACGGGGCTGCTGATCGCGCCGGTGACCCCCCAGAACCCCTTCCTGGGCTACGCGGGCGGCCGGGAGCTCTCGGAGCACAAGCTGCTGCGCGGGGTCTTCGCCGAGGGAGACGCCTACTTCAACACGGGCGACCTCATGGCCCAGGACGCCGCCCAGTTTGTGTATTTCCGGGACCGTACCGGGGACACCTACAGGTACCAGAGCCACAGGGACACCCCCGTCCCCCCCCGGCATCCAGAGACACACACCTGGGCAGCCCCAGAGACACCCCCTGGGCAGTCAGCCCCCCCATCATCCAGAGACCCCCAGGGCAACCAGCCCCCCCCACCATCCAGACACCGCCCCCAGGGCAGCCACACACCCCCCCCGTCCAGAGCCCCCTCCCGGGAACCCAACATCCCAAAGGGCAGGACCCAGAGCCGCTGGTGTT